CTGAGGTGACTTGTTGCCACTGCAATGCTCCCCATGTGGAACCGCCTGCAGACCAACGATTCCTGCACACAAAGAAAGGAACGATTGATCTCTGGCAACCACACACACTGCATGTCTGTCATGTGTGCGGCAAGAGATTCAGTACCGATGTACCGACCCTTGGACGCATTCCAGACTCCCACCAGTCTGCCGCGGATCTGCCGAGTCAAGGGCAACCTGCTGGTGTTGTCGAGGCTTCAGATCAGCCCGACGCTGCTGGTCCCTCTTGCTCGACGGACAAATCGGATCGACACACGCCAGACGATCCACAAGCACACAATGGCCATCCTGCAGGACAAATAAACCAACACATTGGCCATGATCCGTTTGCATCTCCTGTGCAGTCTGATGTGCAGATGCCTGTTCCACCCGAGGAGGGAGATCCAACATTCTGGCTGCAACACAAGCGACTAGCACACCTCAATCGCCGTGACATGGATCTGCTCAGAAAAGACCTCGGTGAAGGACTGCCTGTGTTCGACATCCCTCCATCCGACTGCAAATGCGTTGGTTGCCTGAAGGGTAAAATGACAGAGAATCCACACAATGAACCAGGCACAAGGGCGACACGCAAGCGTCAACTGGTGCATTGCGACATCTCCGGACCACACTCAAAATCGGTTCTCCATGGCCATCAATACTATATGGTCTTCGTGGACGATTACTCTCGTCTTGTGTCTGTGATATCTCTCAAGCGTCGACGCGATGCAGGCACAGGTCTGAAACGATACATCGCGGAGGTCGGACACATCGAAGAGCTGAGATGTGACGGAGCCAAAGAGCTGGTAGAAGGCAATCTGCTGCATGCAGCCGCCCAGTTCGGAATCGCCAAATCGTTCAGCGTCCCGCACGTCCATCAGCAGAATGGCGTGGCCGAGAGGATGATACTAACGCTGACCAACACGGCAACATCGATGCTCGCTACGGCGAATCTGCCTGGGGGCTTCTGGCCGTGGGCTGTGCAAGCAGCCGCCTATGTGCGCAATCGGTGTCCCTGCAGAAGCAACAAAGGGAACAAAACACCATATGAGATGTGGAAGAACTTCAAACCTGACCTGCGCAAACTGCGTGTGTTTGGATGTTTAGCCTACCCGTTTGTGCGGAAGCATGAACGAGCCACGAAGTTCAGTCCCAAGTGCGACGCAGCGATCTTCGTTGGCTATCATCCACAGATGAAGGACGGATACCTTTTCTGGATACCGTCTAAAAGACAAATAAAGGTCACAAACACAGCCACCTTCTTTGAACATATGTTCAATGTACAGAAGGGTGTCAATCCATACTTCCTACCGGTTCGAGAGGGGGAAGGAAATGGCGACACACATGGGCTGGACGCTCAAGAAGCGCCAGACGCCCAACAAGACCAGCAGCCCATCGATGAAGACGCCTTTGACGCACCGCCACTGCCACAACTAGCCCCCGAAGGGCCACTCATGCAGGGAGCTGACGAGCACGGACTCGATCAAGCACCAAATCCCCATGAGAGTGAGCAGATGGACGGTGAGGCGCACGATGAGGGCATGCACAAGGGTCAGAACGATGCGACAGACCACGAACAAGAGGCTGGGCAAGAAGATGACGACTTGGCCGTTGATGTGGAAGGAAATCCAGTCAACAAAGAGCCACAAGGTCCTCGTAGATCTGGTCGTAAGCGCCAATGGAACACACACATTGGTAGCGACTTCATTTCTGCCCATGCGGACGCCGAGAGCGAACCGGCAGAAAGATCGGTGCTCAAAGAGCGTATCTGGTGCCTCTTTGGTGTTGTTGAGGATGCGGTCGACACATGGACCACTCAATACGCCCGTGGGCCTGCACGCAAACAAAGACGCAAAGACAAAGACATGTGCTTCCTGTCTGGCAAAACCAAC